CCCCCCCCTGCCACGTTGGCCCCGGGGTTTGGTGCGAGGCCTGGGAGCTGCTGGGGAGCTGCCAAAGCACCAGGGGTGCAAAAAGCAAGTAAGAACAGCTTCACTTTGATACGTCCATGTGTGCAAGCATGTAAATGATCATTGTATTATAATGTATACTAGAATTACTGCAAATAATTGAAATATTTATATAGGTGATAATACATGCATTGTATGTAACATGTATATGTGTATAAAGTATGCATTACAAGAATAATTAAACAGCATTTATGATTATACTTACATATTGTATGTTGAGTGATTATATTTGCATATACTTAATAGCCATTTGGTTTCTGTACGTCTACATACATAAATGTGTGTGCGTACAGCATCATATTCATTCTATAAACACACGCATACCCCCCAACATAAAAGAGGGAGCACCGTCCCTTCCTGCAATGTTGGGCTTTGCCACAGTCCAGCGTGGCTTAGCAGCTAATGGCGAGCCAGCCCCTTCCTCCGAGTGCCGCCAGCAGCTCTGCGAGCTCCAGCCTTCGGAGCGCGGCGGGTGCTTGGCCTGCGCTGTGGGTATTTCATGCTAGGGAGCCGCCGGCCCCATCCCTGGTGGCCCATGTGAAGCTGTTGAGTTTCTCCTTCCAGTGGAACACAACTGAGCTTCAGTGATAGGGAGGTTGCCTTCCAGAGCTCGCTGTGCACCACAGATTGGGTTGTTTACCAGCTGGAGGATTAAATAGACTTCCATTGAAGGGAAAAAAAATATGTAAGTGTTTTCAAGTATGTCTTGGAAGCAATGTCTCGCTTGAAAGAGGCTTTTCAGACTTGCTTGTGTTTGCTGGCTGGCACTTCAGCTGTCCCTGGTAAGGATGCTGCATCTCGCACAAAGTAGAGTTTCTGGAAAAATACTGTATTAGGACGGAGGCAGTGAGTGGAAGCTGGAGGTGGGGGGAGGGGACACGGGACACGGAGAAATGCTTTGACTATCCCTGAAAACAACCCCCTGCTCCAATCTCTCCCTATGGCTGGGGGCAGCCCCTTCCTTGCTTGCAAAGAGAAACCCTTCCACACCCAGGAATGAGGGAGCCCCTGACCTTCCTCCTCAATGCAGCTGGGATCTTTTTACTCCAATGCCTTTTCCTCACCCCCATCCCACAACACTGACGTGAACCTGAGATTCAGTTTATTGGGGGATAACTAGCAGCTGATCTCAGGAGTGAGCCTACACTGCACTGCTAATGTGGTGTGAAGCAAAAACAAGGGAGGTAAAAAAAAATAAATTTTACATTTTTTCGCTGCCTCCTACTACAGCCTGGATCAGCTGGCTGATGGCTGCACAGGGCTTGGAGGATTCAGCACAAAGCACTTTTTTTCTTTTTAATTTCTGCTTCGTTCAAAACCAGCCAGTCTGATTCTTCTGCCGACGCTCCACATTTGCCTTTATTCACCCCCAAGATTAAAACAAGGTAAGCCTTTGACTGGGACCTCACAGCATTTGATGGGCTTCTCAGTCCAGGGCAAGCGCTGAGCCCAAACGGGCAGGTCAGCAGCCAAGGACTAAAGAGCAGCAAGAAAGGAGCATTCTTCTCCCACCTCTTCCTTTTTAAGGACATTGCTTATTTGGGAGCTGTGAGGACTAAACACAAATATAAGTCACTGTCAGCTCAAATGGAGGTGCTGGCGACTGCGGCAGGGTGGCTACAACCCAGTGATAAGCTGGGCACAGTAATAACCCAGAGCAGCAGAGGAGCCAGGCCCACCGCTGGCAGTGACTTTCCTGCTGCGTTAGATTAAAGACAGAAATCACTATGAAACCTTCACAGCCCTCCTGGGCTCTGCTACCCACATGGGTTTGTGCTGAAACCATGCAAATTTTGTGAAGGAAAAGGGAGGAAAGCAACCCCCTACCCAAATCTCCTCCCCAACAAAGTAACTCCAATATAACACCACAGGGAGCATAAAACCAGGTAGGGCCTGCTGAAAGCTCTTAAAGGGTGAGGATCCTGCAGGCATTTAAACACCAGATCTCTGCTTTTAAGGGGATGGAAGGGGGACGATGCCTGGACAACTCAGCAGCCAGGGTCCCCACTGCCTGTGCACCAGGAGGGCTGGGGGTGCCTTTTTGGAGGAGCAGGTTCAGAGGGAGGCACAGCAACGCTGATCCAAGTCGTGCTCCAGGGCTACACATAACCTTTGCTAGCAAAGGCCCTTTCTCATTTGCACAGGGAAAGAAAGAAAAGGAGGAAAGAGAAAGAGTAAACAGGCTGAGCAGCCAAATAACTAGCCTTTCTCTGCCCTTAAAAAAAGGGAAAAAAAAATTCCCCTTTTATTGAAACCATTTCCTTTGGTTATATCATTTCTCTTGAGGCTGGAAGCAATTCTCAGTCTTAAGTGCGCTCCCTGCACTAAGTGCACAGGCACGAGGCTGATGCTTGGCTGCCCACCAAGGGTGACCCTGGAGAACAGCACGTCTTGCTGCACCCTTTCTCATCCCCCCTCATCAGCTCACAGCCCCAGCCCCTCCTGAAAGGGGGGAACCCTCAAGGCCAGCATGGGCAAGGTGCAGCATAGGTCACCCCGGCCCAGCTGGGTCCCACAAGTAGGACACAGATGGCATCCATTACGTGTTCCCATCCGTGTTCTCTGTCAACAGCGACAACCAGAACAAGCCGAGCTCTGCCCAGAAATCCCCTGATGAAGGAACGCACCAGGGCCAGGGCTTTGTTGCAATCACATGGCAGAGGAGCAGCCGTGTGTTGGGTGCTGGGAATTGATGCTGGAGGAGGGTGACTGGGGCACCTTGTAGTCTGCACCAGCCACAGGCTCTGGTCTGGGGCTTTGGGGGGATTGGAGTGACATGGGACAAATCCATGCTGTTAAGAGTTTCACATGTCTGGGACCCTGCAGAGGGCTGGGGTGTCCTCAGCAGCTTGGCCTTAGGACCAGCCTGGCCTTAGGACCAGCCTTACCTGATTCGCACCAGCAGCAAAAGCATCAAGGTCCAGAGAGAGAGGACTTCTCCAAGGCAGCGGGGACACGCAGCAAGAAGGAGAAAAGACAGTGTTGAGGCAGGAGGAGTTGTTTGCCAGGACTGCTCAAGCCAGTGCCAAATTGCTAATAAAGGTTTGCAAAATAAAACACTAAGCTCAAGTTATTAGAATATATACGTATGTATCTCCTAATGCAGCCCCCTCAAACTGGGACCAGCAATCAGACGCTTGCTTGGCTTTCCCCGCAAGCCCCCTCAGCTGCTGCTGCTGCAGTTCTCACACGTGGGTGCTCGGGTCTGGCGGGTGCAGCGGAGCAGAGCTGACAGCACACAGGCTGCAGCGAGAGATAAAGCAGCGAGGCCCACGGCGGGGGGAGTTGTGCCTCAAAAACTGCCCTCTCCCCCACCACGAAGCTGGTGTGCGCATACTCTCCAGCTCAGCCAGCGTGAGGTAATTTACCCTTCGTAACAAAAAAAGGAAGAGGGTGCTTGGAGAGGGGGAAGGTGACATCTTGGTTTTTTCAGGGAGTGCTTTTCCCCACGCCTGGCAGCCCAGAGCTGAAGAGCTTTTGCTGTTAGGGACCTTCAGCCACGCGTTGATCTTGTGCAGGGGCCTCAGCTTTGCAGCAGCTCTGGGAGATCGGAGCAGCACCGGGAGCAAAGAAACACCCAAGGCCAGCAGGCACCCAACACAGCTCAAATTTAAGTGTTTAAGAGCTGGCAGGTCCTTGAACAAGGCGTCTGCCTGCCAGCAGGCTGGGGGACTTGACACCCCCCCTCTTTTCCCTTCTCCAACACATACAAAGGCAGATAATTATTAAAGTTGAGGCTTAGCGGCGTTTTTCAAAGGTTTGATCAACGTCCTCAACTCCTGACTCTTGGGCATCTTGTTATCTGGAGGACCCCACTGCTGCTTTGATTTCGGTGAGAATTGGCAGCTTTCAGCCCCACAAGCCTCCCTGACATGTTCCTGGCAGCACAACATCGCCACCCTGGAGCGAGGACCTAAGGAGTCATTTGCCAAAGCCTCATGCCAGATCCCCACCCAGCCCAACATGGTCCTGACGCTCACACACAGATACTAGACTCGTCGCGGAGCAATTGTTAATGAGCGGATGGCGAATGTGGGAGAGGGAATGAGCTTTAATTCTAACCTGAAACATGGGGCTGCAAAAGGCTGCTCTTGGTTAGGAAACACCAGTTTTCCTGAAGCCCTGTTAAAATCATGTTGTCCAACCCTGAATGGATGAGAAAGAAACGAGCAAGAAGTTCTACTTGACAAGTTTGAACTAGAAACAGGCGGAGCCATGGCAAGAAAAAACAACCCTTAAATCCACAGCATTACCTTTTTTTAACCACTTTATTTGTGTGTATGTTTCTATAAACATTTTAACTACTGGACATTTCATAAACTGTAAAAACAAACCTTCCTACCCGAAAATGCCATCAGTCCAGCTTGTCAGTCAGACATTAGTGACACTGCCAGGGCAGGTAGGTGGTGTCCTTAGATAACCTCCCACTGGGCGTGAGCCAGCAAGGAGCTCACTGCATCAGATCCTGAGCGTCTGAGCGATGGAGAGAAGCCAAGTTTAAAGACCTGATTGCTCTCCTCCTCCAGGGACGCGACGAGAGAGAAAAGGGGGGCGAATAAAAAATTTCCCTTGATGGGAAGTCAGAGACCGATGAAGAGGTTGCGACATCCGCTTGCAGAATCGGATGCAGTGACCTCGGCAGGCTTTGCTGGCCATGTTGGTGCTAGAGACTCAAACCGATCAAAATGCTCACTCATCACAAATGGCCCAAAATCTCCTTCACGCCTTGTTTGCCGGGCACAGGTGTGAGCAGTGGGCACTGCTTAAAACCGGCTTGCTCACTTGCGAGGGCGCAAGTCTGTGGGTGCTGATTCCTGGGGGCGGGTGAGCCCAGCTGTAAGGCACGACGGGGAGGAGAGATGGGGCGTTGGGGGCGGCAAGGGAGGCCCAATCCAGCCAGGTGACTCAGCGCTCATCGCCAAGTACCCCGTTGTCCAAGAGGAAAGCACTGTGTTGCACAAATAATGTGGAGCAACGCATGGTCTCTCAGTTCCCCAGGTTCATGTCTGCACCATGGACAAGCCAAACCAGGCGGAAACAGACGGCCAGGAATCCGGTGCCCAGGAGATCCCCCAGGGCAGTGAGGTAGGGGATGGAGAAATTATCCGGATCCAGCGCCTTCCTCCACATCAGGCGCACAATTAGGTCAGCCACGTAGAGCAGGATTCCCACCTGAGGAGAGGCAAGATAGGCCCTGCTGTGAGGCAGCAAGAAGGCAACACACAGCTTCCCGCTGCTCACAGCCAAAATGACGTGGCCGTGGCCAAGATACCAGAGCGAACAGGGATCAACAAGAGTTAACGCCTTTCCCAGAGAACCGCTGTTTCTCTGCAGGATGGAGCTGCACTGGAATGGGAGCAGCTGGCTCCTGCCCTCAGGCATCGGCCACGGTGCCATGGCCCAGTGCTGCCAGCCACAAGTGTGGGGACCATGTTTGAACTGCTCACCAGCATCATGTGGCCCAAAATGGGAGTCTGGCCACACCAAAAGCATCTCCCAAAGGTACTGTTCCCACTTCCCATGCCATGAATGAGAGTGCTCCCATTCACTCCACCAGAAACAGGGCTGCTGCGAATATGCAGGCAGCCCCAAAGGATAAGTTTGTAGCCAGATTTTTTCTCTTCATCCTTCTTTTTTCCGTTAGAAATTCAGATCACGTCTACTTTGTTTTTCCTAAAAGTCTCAGTGGACAACTGGAGTTTGAGGCAGTTTTTACATCAAAGTTATCCCAAGCAGCACTGATGTTAAAAAAAGAAAAGAATTTTTTTTTTAATCTCAACAGTTTTAAAATCTTTGTTGTGATTTCTTTTAATTCCTATTTCATTCCCAATTCTGATAAACAGATGGAGGAAAAAAATACTTTGGGTAAAGATTAAAGACTGTCTAGTTAATTGAATTAAGAAGGGAGAGAGACTTTGCACCCCACATCTGTGGTCCCTCCATGGGAGCCGGCAGCACAACAGGAACCAAAGCCAGAGGCAGCATTTCTAAAGGTGAAAACTGCAGGGTGGGTGGGGGGGAGAGGAAGGAGGAGAGATGGGGGAAGCAAATTAAATAACAGAATCACAGAAACTAAAGCTGGATGGAAACTCAAAGAGCTGTATATAGATCATTCCTCTGCTTCAATACAGGATCAAATATGCCCACATCTTTCCTGACAGTCGTTTGTTTAACCTATGCTAAACAACCCTCAAAGATGGAGATGCCACACTCTAAGCAATCGGTCCCATGGCTTTTTTTTTTTATGTTCTTGTTTTTCCCAAGGTCTAACATAAATCTGCCTTTTTCCATTTGAAACCCACGATTTCATGTTTCATTCCTAGTGACCACAGAGAAAATGTTATTCTGTCCCTCCCTACAGAAACTTGGTAGTTTAAAGGCTGTTAACCAGATTCTTCTCAAGCCTCTCTTCTTTGGACTAGCTAACCCCACTCCATTCAATCACTCCTCCGAGGTCATGTTTTCTAGGCCTCTGATCTTTCTCTTTGGGCTTACTACAGCTGACCCAAACTTCCCCCTCTCTTTCTTTCTGTCTGTCTTTATAAAGTATAATGGAGGGGAAGAAAGAACCAGGGTGAGTGTATTCTCCTCTGCTGCCCTCCATGGGAATCTTTCGGGGTCAGTGGCGTTGCTGGGATTCTGCTCTTTATGCTGTCATTTATTCTGCGTATTTTCATGCCTGGCTCTGGTTGAGGAGTTACCTCAATGCATAAAGAGAAGAATAAATATTTTCCTTTACAGCTACGGCTGTGCTGCTGGGCTTAGGGTTGTGCAAAGGTCAACAAAAAATGATTGTTTACACACACAAGGAATTCACCCCCAGACACGAGGCTGCTTGTAAGGCAAAGCGAGAAGTCAGCTACCTCACCCTGCAAATTAATGAATCACTGATCTAAAAGGGCAAGTGAAGTCAGAGCCTCTGTGAGTTCAAGCAACAGCCACATGCATTTCTGAGTGAGATGACAAAGTTTACAAGGCAGGCAAAACAGTGAAAGGGAACAGGCAGAACAAATTGGATGAACTGCCCATGGCCTACCCAGAACTTTTACTTTTGAAGATGAACTTCTCAGGCCTGGGTTTTCCCTTTGCTTTCGACCCATATGACCCTGCCTAGGGGGATCCCTAGGTCTTCACCATAATATGCAAAACTGGTTTCCAAAATGAGTGGGCAAACCTGCTGGCCTGGGTTCACAGCCTCTCACTTGCCCCTTATTGGGATGACCAGTGCTAGTCTAGAAATACTTGGAGCTTAGAGACTCAAGGAGTGAACATGGTAAAACAAGGTACCACGTACAGCAAGAGGTACCTCCTTGCTAAGTGTGTGTCTGCACACTTACTGCAGCTCAGCGGATGATGATAACTTGTTCCTCATCTCATGCCTGGTCCCTCCCTCACCCTTAAGGGCAGTTGCGCTCACGTGGGAAACCAGACCCTGGCAATTTGGGTGAAGTATTACTGGATCTACAGAAGATACATGATGCTTGGTAGGAAGCACACCTGAAATGACTGGAAACATGGGCTGCTGTTGGAAGTTTTACCATGCCTCCTGTTTAGCCTGGAGACTGCTTTGTTTTCACTGTATCTGAGAGGTTCCTCTTGGATGAGAGCTTGGGGTTTACCTGCAGCAAAGCAGCAGTCAGATAGAACATCACAAAGGTGAAGGACAGAGACGTGTGGCCTCCCTGCAGCAGATGGATGGTGTAGAGGAACACGAGGTGCCCTGGGATAACCAGGAAGAACAGGACTCGGGCTGACTTGGAATTCACCTCTGCAGAGGAGACAGACAGAAACAGCGATGACAGCGGCTGCAGTCGATGGAGGGAGAACAGGACGCAGCTGCATATTTTAATGCATAGACTTGGGGCTGTCCCCTCCCACCAACCACATTGCTAACGCCTTTTCTAGACCACGCAGCAATCTGGAGCATCTGCAGTATCAGCCCAGAAGCTTTGTCTAGCACTGAAACTACGTGCCAAAGACATGCTCTGTGCTGATCCACTCCACTTCTACCAAACACTCCTCTCAGCTGCTCTCTGCCTCCCACTGCTTCTGTTCTGCCTTGCTGCAATGCACTTTCCCAGTTTTTAGTTTGTTTTAGCAGTAACTCCCAACCTAGCAGGGAAAATAAAGAGGAACCTGCAATCTAAAAAGACAACAGACCCAAATCCAGTTTTGCTGATGCTTAGGTTTATCTATTGTTGAAGATGGAGGAGTTGCTGATTTTCAGCAAAGATGCATTATCCACCCCTCTGCCCACAGGTGATGGTTCTAGGCTGGCCATGGTTAAAATGACCTTCTATATTAGATCAAACCTGAGATTCTTTTTCAATTACTTTCTTTAGTGCTCCTTGAAGGCCAGTTTCTTTGCAAGCCAGTGAGCAAGTATACCACAAGCTTTTTTCCAAGCTGCCCACTGCAGAGATGCTTCCTCTCCAATCAGAGTATCTTCCCTGTAAGGGGGAAAGGGAGTTCTGCCTCTGAAACCCACATAGTCCTTCACCAACCAGTCTTGGTAAAGGAGCTATTTGTGATGACAGGCCTTGAGACATGGACACCTAGGGTTCAAGGTCTACCTGAGGAGAAGAATGTGGTGCATGGGTTTGGCCAATTCTGCCTCATCTTGTATGGCAAAACTCCAGGCATGCTCCAGAAGTGCAGGAATGTGGAAATACGGCTGGCCTGGATGGCGACCAAATTCCCTCCAACACCTATGAGGACAAAACACAGAAAACCTGTAAACCACCTTCACTGCAGCAGGAAACACCTAGCCCAAGGTGAGTCGATCTGCATTCACTTACAAGCTCACTGAGAGCAGCAGTGAGAGAAAGAGAAAACCTGGTCCCGCATGTCATGGTGATGCTGCACCATTCACTTGGCAGGAACAGCTCTTAAAAATCAGGAAGGCTCCAGTGACCGCCTCCTTTTGACTGCTTTATTGGAAACATTTTCCCTTGCTTCCCAGCACCGGCTGTAAATGCCACGTGGCCTCTGAAGATGATGTAACTGCACCTGGTTTGACGCAGCCTGTGAGCAACACCTGGGGAAAGCAGCGCAGGCGATGGCAGATGCTGCTCATGGCCACTTCTTGGATATACTCATCCAGAGAGCCGTTATTGTTTAAAAGACAACAAACATCACAGAAAGCGATTATATGTCTGTCTGAAGGCCTCTAACACACTTGTTAAATGAGAAGGAATCATATGAGAATGAATCAGAGCCCAAATACGTTAGCTAATTAAAAGGCAATTAATTCCTTCCAGACTGATTAATTCTAGCAAACATGAGAAAGCAGCTATGTTTTCCAGCAGAAAATAGAGGGATGATGATCTATGGAGCAAACCTCCACCACCCTGAGTATTTGCAGGGTAGAAATGCCACAGAAGAGATAACAGTGAGCCAGATCCTACAGGCTTCTCATGTTTTACCTTCCTTGAAGAAGGAAATGCTCCATCATTAAACGTGAGACTTGCCAGAGCAGAATCAAAGTGAAATACTAAGACTAGCTCAGCATAGTTCAAGATGGGAGCATTCTGAATCGTGCACTGCCATGCTTTGCAGGACAAGTGAGGAGCTACCTGTGCAAAAACACGGAGCACTGAGTAACTCTGCCACCAGCTCTGCCAAACAGGTCGCCCACCCCCACAGAGCAATGTCTGGGTCAATCATTGTTCATCTAAATTGTTGTTGACGTACTTTCCTAATCAGGCTCTTGGGCTGACCATGCTGGAAAGACTATGTCAGCAAGGTGGCTCTCTGTATGCAGATCCAGTAAAGTGACAGCTGGGTGACTCCCTCTGACACTGCAAGAGGACGCCACGCTTTGAGGGTGGCATGAGACCAAGCCTGCCCTAGAATGTGGGTTTCCCCTGGAATGGGCCTGGCCTGCAAGAACATTACAGTAACAGAAAAATAACCCAGTGGATCCTCAGAGATGCCAGGATCCCCAGCAGTTTGTACTCGTATGTGTGTGTATAAAGGTACTGTGAGGCTTCAGACGAATATAAATACACACACAAAAGATGTTGAGAGATATATACTAAAAATCCCTACATATAATCCATATATATAATAGGCTTTATACATACACACACACGTATCTGATCTTAATAGATTAATCTTTATCAACAATCTGTATAGGGGATGATTGCACAGCTCAAATTGCTGAGTGGAGAAAGACAGGGAAAATGGATTTATTGTGACATCCTTAGTACGTTTGATGTTACGAAAGTAAAGGTGACAACGTAACTCTTGGAGACAACCATAAAATGCTGTTAACCTTTCCCACAGCTCTGCCAGTATTTTTCAGCCCTGCCTGCTACTTTGCTCCAGAGACGCTTCAAGATACAAGTAAGTAGGGATGTAATGGGGACCAGTAGCTTCACTTCCACTCGTGATGGCAGCAGGGACATGAACACAGATCTCTGTGTAGGGGCAACAGTGGATAACATAAGCCCTGGCGGAGGAGGGGGAGGTATAAATAAAAGCATGCATATAACCCCCCCTACCCAACATACCATTAATCACAGGTGTGAAAACTGCCATGCCTTGAAAGTTTGGGTCAGTTACAGTTTTGTCCAAGATGAGCCCACCAATGCTGTTAAAAAAGGACAGGCAATGAGGGTGGATCAATCTCTCTTCCCAGGGCAATTCCTACGCTATGAAAATAGCACACTGAGTTACTGAGTTACTGCTTCTTTCCCATTGCCAGGGATGGACTATTCCCCATTTACTCCTTTTACAGCTCAGTTTTCATCAACAGATGGCCTTAGAGTTTTTGTTAATGGCGTAGTGAGATCAGGAAGACATCCTTGCCCACTCTTGAGCAAAACTGACAGTAGCCAGGGAAGCTTTATCACCCTCCCCAAAAGTTTTACTCCACTTCTATACTGGTCTTAGCAGTTTTTTAAAAATTCTTCCCCAGATCTCGGCTGGGTCTGAAAGATACACCACAGGAGGAATGAACTACTTGGCTCTACATTCACCAGTCTGCTGTCTTAACAGCTGGGTAAAAGTGAGGTTGAAATCTGAATCTGTGATGGTCATCTTCTCCCTTTTAGGTTTCCTAGCTTGCACCCACATGGTGCATAGATGTGCAAGTGAGACTTAAAACGATGACTTGCTTTTTTCCAGTTATTTGGGGGTTCCTTATCTGCTATCGCATGGCCTGTTGGGGAGCCACCAAAGGCTGAGAAGCACTGGACAAATACCCTTCTGCTGTCCCTTCCAGTTTCACTCTTGATGGCTTTCTAAATGAGCACAGGGTCTCTCTGCAGCGTGCATACGTGAGTGGGCTCAGAGGCAGTTCCTCGGTTTACCTGCTGATGCTCATTGCAACAATGACCGGCTGCCATCCAGATTTCAGGACTTCGGCAAGGGAAGGGCTTTGCTTGGCGATAGCAACCCAGAGAGGGATCATGACAATGAAGACAACACAGATCAGAGGAGAAAGATATTTCATATCTGGCAAGGAAAAGAAATCTAGAATTAAATGTCCATGGCTTCACTGGTTGCTAAAATGGTATTGCACAAAGTCTGGAAGAAAGGCAGCACGGCTCTCGCTCAGACTGAGTTACATTAGTAGAAAAATCACATGAACCAAGATATTCCCCACACAACCACCTCACTCTGCCACAGAAATCCATAATTAAACCCTGAAACTTACTGCTAGGGGATGTTATTTGAAAATCAGCAGGATTCAAAGCAAGTTATATTTGAAGATGAGCAAGTCTCCAATTCCATCTCCAACTAAGCAAGACAAAAAGTTACAAAATTTCTAGCTTCAGGGTAAAAATCAAACAGCAGGGCAAGGGGGAAACTCCTGTGTGCAGGCTGTATCACACTTCTGACAGACACCTCATGCCTTCACCTAAAACAATAGGTAATAGGTACTTCTGGTGGCAAGCTAGCAGAATTGCTGAGCAGCTGGCCTGCTCCATAGGAACAAATGCTCTCTTGCATGTATAAGCCAGTTAAGATCCAGGGTTTCTTTCGTCCTAGTTTACATGCATTTCCATTAGGTGCTTTTTCCATTCGGTAGGGACATAACCTTGAAGTGACCTTTAGAAACAAAGGAATTAAAAAATAAGTAGATGTGCAGCACTAAAGGAAAATAAATATGACTCAGAAGCATGAGAAACACCTTCAAGCAATGGGGATGATGCCAATCCTTTTGATATAAAAATGCTTCTTCAACAAAGCTCTCCATCTGGTCTCTGTGTTGGGGCCAGAGCCAGCGGGTTGTAACGCAGACTTTGCAGGTAATCTGGGAGATGAAGCAGGCTCAAAGTGTGCATTTTTCAAAATGACATTGCCAGGGCCTCAGGCTACCTGGATAAGATAGAGCTGATGTGATGACGGTATCTTCCATGAGCCAAGGGCTCTTACACGAAGAGGGGCACTCTTTACGGGTGGCTTTAGTGACTGAAATGCAACCACTTCTGGGGTGTAAATAGCTGCTGTTTTGTCAGTGCAGTTTACCACCTGGAGTCATTTAGGAAGGATGGGTTGTACGACAGATTTAGACTTAGACTTAGCTGCTGCACTGGATCTTCCCCTCCCGCCCCCACCACGTTGTTATTTTGGGCAATTAATTCCTTCTTAAATAATGCAGACACAGAGCACTGGAATCTATCAAACCTTATCAAAGCCCACAGAAAGACTCCTGGTAGAATGGATGGACTTCAGTCTCCACATTCCAGTTCTGCCACATTCTCTCACATACAGCCCATAAGCAGGCTGCAACCCTTTGGCACAGTTTGTATCTCCATTATGCAGGGCTGGGAAGGACCAGAGTCAATTTTTAAAAAATTTAGTATCTTCATTGGCAAAAGGGTATTCCACAGAATGAGGTGGTGCTGCATCAAATGGCGCATAGTACTCCAAACTTTAGAGACTCGCCAGTATTTTTGAAGGACACATTTTGGTAGCACCTAGAAGTTGTCACAGCATGACCTGTCCCTTAACTACACACTGGGGAGGGAAATTGATTTATTCAACCAACATCAACAGTGCCTTCCTCCTCCCTGCTTCGCTTCAGGCTCCCAATGACTAGGTGTCTGTGCGCTGAGTATTTTCCATCTCAAGAGGCTACTTAAACTACTCTGAAAACATCATAAATGCTCTCGGGTCACAACCACAGAGGTTATCGTGTTGTTCTGCCATGTGCTCCCTGGGAGATAGTATCAGAGGTGTAGCGATTGAAAGACAAACTAGCATTGCAGAGGCAGGTGTGATGGTGTCATGGAAAAAACCTATTAAAAATGCACCTCTGAAACTCAAGGAGGGCTGGACAGAAGCAATTCGTAGGCCTCTCCCTGCGACGTGTATTCCTTCTCTCCCTCACTTGCTGGCATATGGAACGAGTTATGCAAACTGAGAACAGCTGCCTTGCTGCTTCTGCTCACAGTCTGAAGCAACAGTTTGGGATTCAAATGGTATTGAGTTTGCTGGTTTTTTTTTTATTTTCCTGTTTCTGTTCCAGGTTAGGCTCACGGTAAATAGCCTAGCACTTTACAAGCAACAGTCAGGCATATATCACCAAGCTGCAACATGTTTTGTGCTTTTCAATGTCAACAGGTGCCCAAGTCTTTGCCAAGCAGCAGCACAGCTAACCCCATAGCCACAACTCCTACTCACAGCCCTGTGAGCATAAAACAATACAGCACTGCCTCCCTCCCTCCAAGATGATAATACCTTGTTCATCCACGACTCTCCACATGAGAAGATACAAGAATATTTTACAAATGCCAAAACCCTGAAATAGCTTTGTGAGGAAGGACCTGCTATTACCCATGTACAGAAAGTAGTTATGCTTGGCTAGCAACAGATGCAGGAATGGAGTCAGTGTCACATATGTCAACCTTCTGTTCCAAAGCTATGCAATACACATTGGTCATTTCTTTGACAAATCCCAGTTGTGTTTCTTAGGCTCTGCTTTCCAGTTTGCTACTAAAAGAGAGCCTGGATAAAGCCTCTTTGGTAATTTTTCTACCCCAGTGGCATGACAGCCTCCACGCTGAAACATCCCAGAAATGGGTAAGCACCCTGCAATAATTTCACAAGGATTCACCCCTCCCTTGCTGAGCTGCAAATCCCTGCTAAACACTGTACCTATGTATTTGAAGAGTGTACTGCTGATTCCTGCCAGCAGGGAAAGGGTTATCAAGTCTCCAAGGCTTGCTGCTATGGGTGTGGCGACATTGTCTGGATTGATCCCAACTTTCCTTGCTCCGATGATCACACCAATCATCACCAGACCTAGAGAAGACACAGAGCAGGCATCAGAGAATGCATCCTGCTGGATTTCACTCCAGAGCTGCTGTTCTGGTTCCCAGAGGGACGCAGGGTCTGGGAAAAGCAAGGAGCAAATTGCCCGTAGCGGTACCACGCAGTTGGAGATTGGACATCCCCAGGAATTTGTCCTCTTGCTTTCACCAACCTGAAGGGCATGACTCTGCCCTTATGAACTGCACCAAAGGCCCAGAGGCACACAAGCAAATTCCAGGGATCAAAGGAGATACCAGCAGGCAGCCCAAATGTAGGAGCTCCCCTCCTGAGCAGCCTAATCTTTGCTGCCTTGAAACAGGACCAGGCACGAAGCACACTCATAGATAAGCACACAGCAGGCATGCGGCAGCCTCCTGGTGCCATCCTCTGCTCTGGATTCCACAGCACAAAGATATTTTCCATATTAGACCAAAATTTCTCTGAGTTTGAATCACCAAGGAACAACGAGCTTCCTTACAGTAGCCTGAATTAGCTTTTCAGCCCAGCCATCAGACTGACCCTTCACGTCCCAGAGTCTTTGGGGCTGCTTTAATTTGCACTGGGTGGATGTTGATGCAGTGAGCAGCTTCTGAGTCGAGGGGTTATGGAGGTGGCCCACATCACCTCTCTTTCCTTGTCCTCTGAGCTGCACCTGGAAAACTCAGCTGCTTTTCAGCATGGTTGGAGAGGAGGGAAATTTCGCTTGCCCAGCAAAATTAAGAAGCACAAACCCCAAACCCTGATGAACGTATGGGAATCCCTCCACCATCAGATCTCTCGCAGGCCTGTGGAAAAGCCACCTGGAATAAACCCTGCCTGGCCAGCCTCCACTGCTGGGTGACTAGCAAGGGCGGCCTTTAGGCAAGACACGTGACATCTCTTCAGATTCCTTCCATGGCTGACAGGATGCACCAAAGGAAGCCTAAGAAATGGTGGTTCTCTCCAGCTCACAACCTCCCTGTGCCTGTTCGCACAGGCCCATCGAGGGTGAACGTGCACAGGAGCATTGGCTCTCCCCTGAATGCCACGTGTGCACCTTCCCTGGTACGACATCCCTTATACAGAAATACATCCTCACACAACATGGCGCTCTCCCCAACAGCCCTCCCAGGCACCCACGCTCCCCTCCCCACAGCACAGTTCATGCTGCTTCCCTCCCTGTTCATAAAAATAGCAGCTTCCCGTTGTGCACACCCACACACAGGCTGCCTGTGACCATGTCCAGGGACAAAACTAAGGCTGGTTGAAAGCCTGTGTCAGTACAGCAGCAAAGCCTCTCTGTATCACACTGAGCAGGGAGATTGAAGGGAAGAGTTTAATGAAAGCTGCGCTGCTGTTTTTGTCTTTTAACAACTGCCTTATCCCATGTTTTTCATCAAAGGCATCTACAATCACCCTTTGACTTCAGCTTCAGGATATGCATTTGGTCTAACTTGTCTCTTTCATTTTGAAAACTTGCTGTATCCAACTCTGCCAGCTCCCTCTATTCAGGGTATCATGCTGCCCTCGCATGGCAGACCTACAAACTGATCATCTTCAGGCAACACAGAGCAGCTCCTACCCGTCCTCCCTGTTTCCCTTGCAAGGGGAATAGCCAGGGGAGCGGAGTGCCTGGCTCAGAGCTCACAGCAGGCAAGCACAGGGCTGGCCGCAATCCTCCCCAGGGCACTGGGTGACCCAAGTCCATCTCGAGCGTGGTCTGAAGTTGTCTGCTAACAGATGCTCAATAGCCTGCTTTGTGCATGGCGTTAGTTCACTCTCCTCTAGAAAAGGGCCAGTGTAGATGGCTAACGGGTCACCCAGGACACAAGGAGAAAGTGTGTGTGCACGTGTGTTTATACCCATGCATAGCGTGTGGCATTTTTCGCGTGTCAGGTGAAGTGGAACATTTTGTTTGCTCTGTGGATGCTGAGAGCCCAGCAAAGAGATCCTGTGAGAAGACAAGCAAAGGCAGCATGCAGAAGGGGAAAGCAGAAGACATAGGACTAATGCTTCCTGCATCGCTCCTCCCTATGCCAGACCAAAGGGCCTCCCTGGCAGAAGGGACAGTTTTCTTCCACAACTGAGTGCTGCATGTTTGATCTGAGGAACGAAAACAACTCACCAAGGGAAAGTGCAGCTATGAAGGCCGTGGTCACACTGCTGGCACACAGCACGGCAGCCTGGCTCAGCTCCACAGAGCCCTTGGAGATGGCTCCGAGGATCACAGCAGCAACAGCAGCCAGAAGTCCCACCACGGTGGCTTGGACCTGGGGGCCAAAAGAGTGAGCGGTGAGCAGTCATCTGCATCTGCTCCCAGGCAGTCCTGGCTCCATGCAACTGCAGAATTTCCACACAGCTAAGCCTTGCAGAGATGCTGATTGCTTATGTATTTAAGCAGCATCCCTGTAAGGCTCCACTACATTAAAAAAAAAAAAAATCCTGACGAAGTTTAGAGAAAAGTCTGGAGGCCTGCAAAGGGCAGATAACATTTCAGCAATGGACACAGAGTCCATCTGCAAAGGAATAGCCCTGGTCAACACAAAAATGGGCTCCCCATCAACACAACCCTCCTAGCAAGCTGAAAGCTGTGGAAGGAGATAAGGGAAAGCACACAGACACATGTTGCAAGCCCTGTGGCCTTGCCATGTGCAACTTCTAGGCTGGTTGCTGGATTTTAACAAGCAGAAAGAGCTACAAGAGTCACATTTCTCCCATCTCTCCCCTCCTGCCCAAGGCTGATTCCCAAACACTGCCAGTAAATGATGAGCTTTATTTAGGGGCTGTTGTGAAACAGGGATTGTGCTGCAGCTCCCCCCGAAAACTGAGGTTTTTTCATTATTTCAATTTGTCCACAAAGGCAATGAATGTCTAGATGTGTTCTGCAGCTAAACTACAAGCTGTGGGGCCATACAAAGCTTTACTGGAGGTCACGTCCTGGGTTCTGCTTGGCTCTGTTAAGAATACCTGTCCCAAATCAACAGCTCAGGATTCGGCAGTGCTGGGAACAGATGCTCTTGGGCTGCAGCACTGCAAAAGAAAAGCGCCTTTTTCCACTCCCAGTTGAAGTGACTCACCTGGATAAGGGCTAAATTGCAGGTGGCCATTTTCCATTGCTTCTGGGCATCATCCATCTGTCCAGTGTTAGCCTAGGAGCCAAGAGAGACACCCTGAAAACCTGATCCTGTGGTGCAGGTGGCTGCTGAAGGCAGTTTCACCTGGTCCCTGTGGGAAAGGGGCTGCTAAAGCCAGAGAGAGGTGAGCACAGGCCAGCATCTCCAGCCTTCCCTGCAATTCCTTCTTGACACATCTCCATCATGCTCCAGCCCAGTATCCCAGGGGTATCAGAGGCTCACAAGGAGGTGCAGAGGCAGTGCAGGACACCCAGCTAAAGGTGGAGTGGGCACACAGAGACCAAAAGATGAATAAATTAAACCATTTTTCCTCTTTCATTCCCCCTAAATTGCTCTGTTAAGCTCAAATTTCTCCCGAGACATGCAATACAAACAGCCCAAAGTAAACAAAACTGCTTAGGGAGAGAAGGGAAATCAAAGCTAGAGTAGCAAAAGCTACTGCAGGTCCCAAGAAGCCTTGGTCTGCTCCCCCCAGGGTAGAATAGCTGGGAAGTCCTGGGTCTCTCAGGAATCGATACCCACAGAAAAGCAATCCAATACTGAAGCTGACAGCTGTGGAGCCCTGGCTTTGTCTCCTTCATGTGTCACAGGGCCCCAAATAATCTGCAACTGGCCACCCAGGGATTAATTCACCTTCAAAGCGCAGATTGAAATTCTCTGTTCCAGTTACAAAATGAGGGCAAACACATTATTTTAACACTCACACCCCACTAGTTTCTACTTAGCAGAAAAGGGCATGTCTCATACACACAGCGTGGTTATATAAAAGCAGAATCTCCTGATGCCTCCTGCTAATCCCCCCCTCCCCACACACACGCCACCACCACCATGTTAACACTCACAGCAGTAGAGAGCCTGGATGCCAGAGTCATCTCCAGATTACCCTTCAGGCCAACCAAGGCAGGAACCAGGATAAAAACTTCCGTAATTGTCCGAAACACTTCCCAGTGCTGGAAGAAAACAAAGGCAACGACCTCAGTTTGTGATGCTGACCAGTCCAAGGCTGTTGTTTCAAAGGGGAGTGGGTTTCCACCTCAACACCTGCTCTAGAGGTGTCTGCTATGCACATGGGGGCATATGCTGGGCTGCTTGCATTTTGGGGGTGAAGGAAGCAACTTTTAGCTTGCAATCGTCTTTCTGACCTCATGCACAGCAAAGCACTATCCTAACAGGGAAGGAACTTTCTTCCTGAGGGCAGCAGAAGATTTTGGAAAGCCACAAATTAAAATGTGCCTTTAGCATTAGCCAAGAACAACACAAAAAATAATTAGGGTTCACAAGCCAAATGTCCAGTCTCCTAAGAATAAACACAAAGATCTGGAAACGATCTAACAACAAAAGGTTGTGTCTGTCTTTTTTTACCAAACTTCTAACTAAGCATCTAAGACTGGTGGTGGGAGGGAAAGGAGATTTTTGTATCTCTTCTCCACAGGCAGTTCCTAAATCTTCCTGTTACCAAGCATGCTCCCAGCACAGTTGGAAAAAGGACTTTGAATTAAGATATCCCGTAAGCCTGACCTGCTGGGGTTGATTATCACTGCTTCTCTGAAGCTGAACTGTACAAAGCTGTTGAATCAGCTGCAACACTAGAAATTATCTGAAACCTTAAGAAACTTTGTTGATTAACATATGTCTTCTCTAATTTATCTACCACACAGTGCCTTGGAACATAATTCATTCACCCCCTGTGCATTCAAGGATGTTGGCAAAGTCCCGCTGTAGCCAGAGAGGTTCACATCAGGATGAAATCACAGAATGGAGCAGCTCACCGTGAAGTAAAACCAACTAGCCCAACATCTAAGAGCAGGACACAAGAAAAAAGAGTAGCTGCAATGAGTCAGACCAAAAGTCCACCTAACCTATCCTTATCTCCACCAGTAGTCAAACTGAGGTATATAAAGCACGAATCTACAAGTATGACAAGTAGGTGGGAAAATTCTCCTGTGTATTTTCCAGCCTACAACTATCTGCCACAGGGAACTGAGCTGGTGGGGGTTTTCTGCAAACTTACCAGTGTTCAAAGGATTTCTCTTTCAGGTATTCATCCAATCTGCCCCCTCCAACCCATGTGCCACCCCGTGGCAAAAATTTCCATAGTTTAGCTACATGTCATATGAAGGATCAACTTGTTGATTAATTCTCACTTGTCACTGGCTAGTAGCATACGATGGTCCTGAATTCTGGCGCTAGAGCACAAAATGCACAACAGATCCTCTCCCACCTTCTCCACATCCATTGAATTCTATAAACCTGAAAATCCAGGAAGGTAGACAGACTCTGTAAATGTTGACACATTCAGCTGTCAGCCTGTTGGGAAATACATACAGGGTGTAACGGCTCGGTGTTTTGCTCTGGCTGTGCCATGGGAAGCTGTGGGAAGCCAGTGGTGTGGCTCTCTGCTGGGGAGACCTCACAGCTTCCTTCGGAGTCAGGCTGAATGAAAGTAGGGCTGAGCCAGCCCTGAGCACGTGGTGCAAGACACCCCTCAGAGGTGCAGATAACAGGCAAAACATTCCGATCAATATAAAGAAGCAAATTTTCTGGCAGTGGTGACCTGGAAACAGGCATGTTTCAAAATGTTAAAGGTAAGTTACTGTTGAGTAAATAACAGACAACACAAAAATAGTCACCTTGTTTGACACACTACAATTTTGTCTGAATTTGTTAACATGGAACTTAAATACCTGAGAAAAGCTAGGGGTGGACATCTCTTTTAAAGATTCAAATCCCCCTCTCTCCTCTCTCTTTAATTAAGAATAAAGATCCAAACACATCTTTGACACCTTCAAAAGAAAGAGGAGAAAAAACACACTTCATAGTCACAGGGTAAAAAAACCCAATAATTTAAAATACACAGGTGTGCAGACAGTCACATTTAAGACCTTGCATATTTTGCATATAAAAAGACATTAAAAAAAGCAACAGAAAGACTCAACTGTCTGTATTTTCTGTGCATGACACCTTTGGGAAATATGACTTTGTTGTATCAGTGTAAGCTCCAATCCTCATGTTCATGACGAATTTTGCAGGTCTCAAGCCATCATAACAGAAGTTTCAGCATATGAGGCATGATTTTTTGGGACTCTGCCTTACATATAATTATACTGAAAGGCTTTGAACAATTAATAATCACACAACGGTACTAATAAAAAAAGCTGACTTAATTGCCTCCATTTGAGTCTCATTAGTGACTCACCAAGAGCCTAAGGACAGATTCATAATGATTTATGCCACAGTAGCCAGGACTCCATTGTGTTAGAGACTGCAGAAATAGGGAACAAACAGATGATCCCCGTGCCATCGCCCTGCAGGACTATCAGCTGGAGAAGCAGGTGAATGTGGCAGGTTAGAGCTGTGCAGGCAAGGAGCTGCCCGAATGAAGGCATCTGGGTTAAGTCTAGGAAGCATTTCTGTCATTGGAGATGAAAACTGGCCTAGAAGGAATGGAAACATTCCCTGCAGCATTGCAAACCCACACAGGGAGACTGAGCCAGAACGAGACTCACTCCCACTTCATGTCCCCATAATGCAGTTACAGCCCTAAAGCTCAGCTCTGAACTTGGTTACTCCATGATCCACTGCAGCTGGTCCCCACGCCAGTTGGGTCTGTTCATAGGGTCCCATAAAGGAAGAGAGGCTATGATGTACTGAGACAGTCTCCCCAGCTGCAGCCTACCCCCACTGTCCCTCCTTACACTGTTCTCGCAGTCCCAACCATGTCCTGTTACCTCTCCAGGGCATCCATCCTCCCATGGCAGCAGCTAAGAATCATAGAATCATAGAATGTTTTGGGTTGGAAGGGACCCCTAGAGGTCATCTAGTCCAACCCCCCTGCAGTGAGCAGGGACACCGCTAACTAGATCAGGTTGCTCAGAGCCCCGTCCAACCTGGCCTTGAATGTTTCCAGGGATGGGGCCTCCACTACCTCTCTGGGCAACCTGTTCCAGTGTTTCACCACCCTCATTGTAAAGAATTTCTTCCTTATATCCAGTCTAAACCTACCCTGGTTTAGTTTAAAACCATTACCCCTTGTCTTGTCACAGCTGGTCCTACTAAAAAGATTTTCCCCATCTTTCCTATAGGCCCCCTTTAGGTACTGAAAGGCTGCAATCAGGTCTCCCCGCAGCCTTCTCTTCTCCAGGCTGAACAAGCCCAACTCCCTCAGCCTGTCCTCATAGGAGAGGTGCTCCAGCCCTCGGATCATTTTTGTGGCTCTCCTCTGGACCCGCTCCAACACTTCCATGTCCTTCTTGTGCTGAGGGCTCCAGAGCTGGACACAGTACTCTAGGTGAGGTCTCACCAGAAACCTCAGAGGTTTTCCATTGCCCTGAACAAGTCCACAGAAAGATCAAAAGACCCTGGACTATAAAACACAACCCAACTCAAAACCCTATTCAATGCTAATCATCTCAAGGCTTTTATCTACAAAGGAGAAGGATATCTTATGACTATGACTTTTATTTGGACTGCGTCCCACGGCAGAGGTGTGGAAGGGGAGAATGAAAGGGAAGCTTTCCTCCTGAATTCTCTGGTTTGAAATCTGATTGCCCAGTTTCAGTCTGATTCTTCACCTTACTGTAAAAGAGTGGGCCAAACACCAGCAGGGCCCTACAAGGTCTCCAGCAATGCCAGCCAGTCTGGAATCCGGATCAACCAGCCAGCCAAGGATCGCTGAGGCAGAGGCGGAAACATCCAACAAGAAGAGACCCCGTGCCATGCTGCCAGCCCTGCACAGAGACTGCACCATCTGCGCAACCAAGAAGACAAAATGGCAAATGGCTATTTCTTTGGGCATCCTTTTGTTACAGTATGAGACACCCACATTTGAGCCTTAGAGTCAACTGGGCTAGTCAAATCTATCTTGTTGATTTTTTCTTTTTTTTAACAGTAACATGAACAGTTCTTGGTTTCATCCCAGGACAGATCAGAAACTGCTAAAATCCTGCGAAGTTTGATAGGACACAAACAAGCAATTTCCACTTTGTTTTCCTCTTTACAACAACATCAGTCCTGCAAATGAGAGAGCCAGCTGGACTCCCAGCACAGAACCACATTATTTCAAGATATTTTGTATGTAACAAAACAAGGGCAGCACCATTAAACTCATACGTATGCTCTAGATACTATCCTTGAGCTTGCCCATATATTTTCCTGTCAAAGTTATGTACGGAGTTTCCTAAAAATGTTTTGCAGTGACTGCAAATAGGGCAAAGCATTCCTTATCTAGACCATCCCCTGAAAAATGGGCAAATCACAACTCCCGGACTAGAAAAACCTGTAGTTTCAGTAGCGTGAGCCCTTATGATTACTGATATGAGTCTTGGGGTACCTGACCTCAAGCAAACAAACTCAGTCTCAGGTTTTAGTTGGACAAGACAGTGAGTTTCTAGCTCTCACACTGCCAGAAGAAAAGGTGAAAATACGCAGCTCAGAGACAAAAAGGCACAGAAGAATAATCCAAACCTTCAAAGGCTAAGATCTCTGGATTTTCCCAGCTACTGGTTTTGTTTTCAAACATGGGGTTGTTGATACCATGGCAGCTTATCTCACGAATATCTCTCCTATACCAGCTGTGACTCTTGATGAACTAGCTCCCTCCTCTGGGAGCTGAACTCACTAACCCATGGCTTCTATTTCAACATAGTTGGAAACACCTTCACCAAAAAATACACTTCCTATTATTGTGCTTCTTGTGTGACCCCATTTCCAAGAGTCTAGTGAACAAATACGCAAAGTGGACTGCACGCTGGTATTTAAAGGACAGATGCAACGTAGGTGTACATGGCTTGTGTTTTCCCTCAGTTTGGATAGTTACATTTTTGAACAAAGCCCAAACCCTAGCAAGTGTGTTCAATTTTTTTTAGACAAAGACCTCTTGACCTGCCAAGGGTATGGAGTGGGTATGTGCCACGTCTTTGTCCTTCTCTGAGATAACTGCTATTAACATCTTGGGTAGTTTGAGAACTTCTGTAATGCTGCAAGACAGGTCTGTGCTTAAGCACAGCACAAGGTGGAGACGACAAACAGAGAGTGTGTCGCTCCAGTTAACCCTTCTTTGATATTCCTCATATTCCCTTTAATTCTACTTCTCTGCCTTCTTTGTTTCTGCCAATGCAAGAAAAACCAGCAAGGTATTGTCTTTCCAAACACTCAAGTATCCATATTTAGCTCCTGCTGTGGTACTAATGCCAGAGAATCCAATGTACTCTCTAGTGAGCTCAGAGCGCAGGATATATCCTTGGGAAACTCTGCCAGCCTTTTGATTTGTAAATCCACTGGCATGAGATGCCCAAACTAAATCAAATTTTGCATTTCTATTTGTGCCACTGGTACAAAGGCAAGACAGATGGGATAGATTCTGTCTGTGGGCACAATGATGTAAATCCAGCAGCACTCCTTGGAAGTCAATGGAAGTTATTCCAAATTTACACCTACCTCAGAATCTGGCCAAGAAGCACTGAGTTTGTGGGCAATGCTAATCTTTTTATGCTGGCATGCCTCTCATCACAGTATCTAAATGCCTTCTAGACCAAAGATTACATTAGGTTGTTTGCAAAGAACTGAAAGCATAAACTTGCCTTTAAAGCGAGACAGGTAGTTAATAACAACCCTGACCTAGATCTCCTTATCAGCAATTTTTGAAGGAAAGAAATAATATCATGCAATAGGGGAATATGCTGCAGTCTGATCCCAGTTGCTTCACAGCAGTCACCACCAAAGTGTTTAGTCAGATACAGTAAAGGGAGCAGCCAGCCTAACACACTGAGGGCAGTGTCAGGCAGCCTGTCTGGAAGCCACCATCCTAGTTTACAAGGAGCCCATGTACTGATCTAAAGAAGACGGACAATGTCTCTCTAGCACAGGAAAAGCCTACAGCCATCCTGCTGACTGGCTGCTAGGACCACGCACATTAAAAACAAAAATGCACAAACACTCAAGGTCAGTGAATTAGCCCACCCTCTCACTACAAAGTTGCCTAACCACGTGTACCTACTTGAACAACATCCATCAAGAGGCCAGCAGCTACCATGCCCAAGCCAGCCAGGAGGAACGGCACGAAAATCTGGGAGGCAATGGAGAATGAAGTCTCTGGGAAAAATCCACTGGCTGACCTGGTCAACTTGCAGGTGAAACCTCTCAGCTTCTTGCCATGGAAGCACAGTTCCAACTGTAACTGGGTGACCACCATGGTCAAACACCATTACCCCATGCTCAGCAAGGCAAATGGGGGGGATCAGGCCATCACACAGATCCTCCTCGTAGCTCTCTTCAAAGTCGAAAGAAATTTTTTTCCTCAAACTACAGCAATGATGCCAAATCACTTTAGCTTCTTCTCCTCCTAGGAGCACGTCCAGAAGGTTGCCGCAAGGGTATCCTCCAAAACTGATTCAGGTGGGTTGAGTCCAGGTGGCAGCAAACTTGATGGACACTATTTCTCTGATTTATATCCAGGGGGGAATTAAAAAAGAGAAAAGAAGATTGCGGAGATGTCTGTGGACGAATAGAAATGAGCCCACACCCCATTCAGCTCCCACCACCTCAGCAAAAACCAGTAAGACCTGCTCAGGCTACAGCACTGAAAGAGTGACAGGTCATGCAAGAATCCCTCAGCGTGCTCAAACGCACCAGTGTCCTTTCTCCTCAGGTTACATTTCTTGTCAGACTGCGGCTCGCCTTTGATACGATGGTTTAATATGTAAGCCTGCTGTGAACCAGCCCCAGTTCCCTCACTCCTACCATAAGCAACGTTGAACTTTTCTCACTGTCCCAAGGCCGAGGAGGTGGGCAGTTAACAACCAGGATCCGTTTTGCTGTCCTTCAAGGTGAAGAAAAGTCAAGGAAAACAGGAGTCCACACTTCTCATGGCTGACGATATTACGCAGGTCTCATCCCCAGGCAAGTGACGCAGCTAAGCCGTCTGGTGAGAGAAGATCTGCTCTTGTAGACCCCAGCCCCTCCTGTCCCCTCCGTGGTTTCCACAGGATGTAAGTATCGGTCTATGCTAGCTATACCTCTGAATGACTGGCTTTCAGGGGGAAAAAAAAAAATCCAGAGAACCAGCCAATAAGCTTCAAAAGCGAACACCCTTATCTACTGTCATCACTTCAACTTTCTGCTAGTTTGCAAAGGCCAAGATAAGAGTCATAGCCAGAGCTTATTTAAGGTAGCTCCGTAATCTCACTACACCGCAGGCAAGGGAGAGAAAGGGTGAACGTTTCCATGGCACGCTGTGAGCTGGTCTCCCCGTCCTAAAGTGAAACAAAACGCTTCTGCATGCTCCCAGGAAGACACTGTCTTTGAGAGACAGGGTCTCACCCCAGAGCCTCCACGGTCAAACAGCTGACACAAGGTCAAGAACCAGAGCTGCATCATGGCCACATACAGCCAAAGAATTTGTATCCTGCTCAATAAAGACTTCAGCTCAAAGTCATGCGTGTGGGGAAGGGAGTCAGGGTATTCTGTTGGGGCTCCTTTCTAATTATTAATTTGGGCAAACTAATTGGATCAGAGGCTCAAAAAGCTTTAAAAGCACAATTTAGGATGGGAGGGTACAGGATTGGTTTAGTACACTGGCAACTGAGCTTTTTCACTATTCCACAGGTTCAAATCCAGCCATGCCCCAGTGAAGGCAAACAAATGAAAGCGAGTATTCAGTGGTAGGCATGCAAGATACAGGTTTCTCAGTCCAGTTCAAATTCAATGTTTAAATTGCATGGCCTTACTAAACACTTTTTGTACTAATCAACCCCTTCCCTGACACTCTCTGCAGAGAGACATAAAGATTCATGGCTTGTGGACTCTGTCCTTGTGACAGGGTCCCCAGCTTGGAGCTAAATGCATCTGCAGGCTTGGACAGAACAAGACATGTTTTTCCCTTGCAGATAAGTAGGTAACTGAGGAAGCTCTCAGCCATTTGGTCCGTGTGTTTCTTTTGGTCTGAATTCACACAAACCAAAGCATGAAGCCTAATGGGCTCAGATGGCACAGCAGACCTCTCTGCAAGCATGGCAGGGTGGAAAACACACGCTGGCTACAGATGGGAGACTCTGTCTTTTGCTGCTTTCTAGGTTGATATTTTGGTACAGCCCCCAAAGCCTTCTCCACTCCCCACAGGCTTGGTGTGTACGTGTGTCTCTTCCACCTAACAGTGGGCCAGTTAGCTGAAAGCTAGCAAGGGAGTACACGTCAGCTAATATAATTGGAAAAAAAAGCCCACAATAGCTGGAAGAGGGAGGTTAATAAAAATCCTGTAATAACCACACATGACCCAACCTCTTTATACCAGCCAGGAACTGATAAGTGACAGCCTGAAGGCCCAGTTCTGCTTAGAAACTCAGAGGCTTTAAGGAAACAAAGGACAATTTCTGGACAACTACCACAGGTTTTCAAAGGCCTGATAATGTGCGTACCTAGTCCCATATGTCACTGTATCTGCCAACTGGATTGCTGACAGGCAGAGACATTAATGTAAAGGAAATATTAATGAGCCTGAATGACTCAAATGCCATTAAAAACCACAGCCGCAACACATCCTGTACTAAAGCGTCAGCCTGGCAGGGTTTATTAGTTTATCATGCTTCAGTGCTCTCTGTTTCTAAGCAAGCACCATAAAAAGCCCTCAACCGATGAATCAGTATGCAGAGAAGGTAATTGGTTCAGGTGACCTGCATGTGTACACTGGGTCACCTTATTATGCATTTAAGGAGCTCTGATAAAGATCCACAACATATTTGTCAGCAAAGAGATGCATCATATTTTCCTGGCAAAGAGATATACCATATCTGTCTGCAAAGAGATGCATCAGGTTTGAGAAGAAAGAGTGCATTGCTGAACAGAGGGAAAAAGATTTTAACTAGTTGGGGGAAAAAAAAAGCCCCACCTCCTGGCTGCAGCACTCATCATGGCAAAACCCAGGGAGGTACACTGCCGCCCTTCTCTGAACACAAATACACTGTATCCCTATGCTTGCAAACTAGCCAACAGGTAGCATTGCCCTGGAGGAGCCAAAGCAGAAAGAGCCTCTTTGGTGGGCCCTGACCCTGATCTAGGGCCTCCATCCACTGTCACAGTACAAAAAAAGAACAGAAAGATGACAAGTGCCAAAGAACGCAGTTTCAGACGTACCTTATCATCCCTGCAAAGAAGGGACAGGGATACCAGTGAGTGCTCTTACAGCACAGCAGTGTTAGCAACAGACAGCACTATTCTGGCACCTTAGACTCACAGGAGGACGGTGCTTTTCAGGGACCGTACATCCCAGTTGTTGGAGTACTAGCACTCCTGACTCTGCAAGCTCCCTGTCACATCAGGCTGCGTATTCTTGTTTCCTACCTTGCTCCTCTCTTCCCCACTTTAGGAAAGGGCAGAGAAGAGAGCTTATGTAGAGAGACAAGCAGATGGAGAGTGACTGGGGCCCAAAAACTCGCAGCATCTCCTGTTGCTCCAAAGAAACAGCAGTAGCAGCAGGGCAGAGGCCAGGACTGGCTTAGAAAGGAAGGGCGGTTCCTAGCAGCAGCAAGTCCATGAGGAGACACGGTCCATGATCATGCATGAAAAGTCACTGTGCTAATCGCCACAGGCCTGCTTTTCCTATGAGATGTTGCATGGGTTGACTTCCCAGGCTCTAAGCACTGACAGGAAAGCTCTTTGTGAGCTCCTTATTTGCATAGAACAGAAACCAGACTTTTGCAGTTTCAGAAGAGTATGAGGTTTGCTTCACATTAGCAAACATTAAATAATTCACATTGTTTATATTAGTGGTCCAGTCCTTCCTAGAAAAAAAAAAAATACCCTAAGGGAAGAACCTTGAAAGAAAAATATTCCTCCAATGTGATAAACCCATCTGTAACCTATTTCACGCTTTAATATCTCACAACAGGAGGTAACAAGCATTTAGTGTCCGAGATCCATAGGAATAGGCAGGTCTGAAGTCTGAAAAATAAAAATTAAAGTGGCTACTCAAGACTCTCAGAATGGCATCTAAGGAAAGAAAAAGCAGTTTGCCACTGGCTTCTGGATTTGCCTTGGTGTTTTCTGGTCTGACTAGACATTCTGCTGGGTACTGAGTACATGCTAAGGTCAGTTAAGGATACTGTGTCACTCTTAAGCCTTTATAGCTCTTCTAGCTCAGGTTGATCAGCCCAGGGGTAATAGCAAAAGAACACAGCTCCAGATTTGTGAAAGTTGTCAATGCAAGCACAGCAGCTTCAGTATCACTGTATTAGATAGGTCAGGGCAGTCTGGCCCAACAGCTAGCTGGTCAAATAACAAGGGTTAACCAAAAGGCACACAGCAGTGAGAGTCACCTAGAGTGCAAAGACATAGCAATTTATAACCTGGAAATTAACTGCAGCTTTAAACTGTCTAAAATTAGGCAGTCACCACTACCTTAAAGCTCTGTATTGCTGCACCATAGGAGGACAGGTCTGCTCCTGACGGTCACAGACTCAGAAATCAGACTGAAAGAAGACTCAAGGATTTGAGTCATTTGCTACAAGGCATTAGAAAAGGCTGTGGTGCACAGACTGGTCTGGGCTGGTTGTATGAAGGTTAACAGTGCTGGGCTGGCTGGCTCCTTGCACAGTGAAGCAGGGGATGCGGGACTTTCCAGAGCTACATCCAGGAGGGATACAGCTGTACCTACTGCAGGAAAGCGCTGTGCCACCACAGCCCTTGGGGTTGCAGCTCAACCACCCTCTTCCCAGGACCAAGGTGAGATCTTTGCACAGGACCGTACCTTCCTACATAGATGCCTCAGAATCTTTGTGTGCTCTTTAGTACAATATTATCTTTTATCTCCATAGGTGAAAAAGGGCCAAAAGAAGACCACGTGCTGCCTCCTGAGAGCTGCATAGAAGTACATAATGGCTGACTTTGAAGGACATGTTGGCATGTGAAACTGCTGTAAATCCTCCGTTATTTTGCCATTCCCAGAGCAAATCCCCTGCCTCTCAAGAAAAATCCCCCACCTATCCCATGCCAGGTACCTGAGATCAGTTCTTTCCCTTACCTGAACATAATCCAAAACCATGCCTGCCAAGACCATGCCAAGCCCAGCTAGGAGGTATGGCAGGAGCACTTGCAGGCAAATTGCGATGGCTGACTCTTCCCCCAACTTTGCCATGGCTGCTTTCTCCTCAGCCAACAGTTTCTGCTGTGCGTGCAGAGAGACATCCTCTGCCTCCTGGCTGCCGAGTCGGCTCTCTCTGTGTTTACCCTTGCTCTTTGCTTTGTGCCTGGATCGCTCTCCATTCCTAGTCCTGCCCTCTTTTCTTCTCTGCCGAACTTCCTCACCTTTCATGGTGGCTTTCTTGAATCACAGAGTTTTTCTGAAAAACAAAGTCAGAAACAATGAAAAAACAAAAAGAGGCAACAGATGGGTCAGAGACAGGAAACCCTTTAGCATTTTGTCCACTCCACTAACCTGAAGGCAAACTACCACCTACTCCCCAAATCCGAGATGCTCTGCTGACCCAACTACTAGCACTTAGTTTAGCTTCAACTTCGTATAGCGTCAAATCAATCTCCCTTTCTGTAACTGCATCTCTTCCTAGGCGTGTGTCCGTGCTGGAGTGCTTGCTGTGCACCTTGAGAACGCTTAGAAGGATGCAGAAGGTGCTGCACACAGCCTGAATTCTGGACCCACCAGCTCTCACACTGGGAGTCATGAGAACAGATGAGCCCAGCAGAATCCAACCCTTTTTAGGGTCTGACCCCTAGCCATGAAATGGAAGCAGTTCACATCTTAGCATCCTGCAGTCCAGCAAAGGACTGGTACAGGTACATACTATGTGTAATACCTAGCATAGTACAGCTGGCTATCCACCACTCCTTGGTAACAAGAGAATTCTTTGTTCTTTCTAATCTGGATACTTTTTCTACCTTTTGCACCTTAGTTGACATGCATGCACTATGTGACTGATCTACAGAGAAGCTGCCATGACCCCACAACATCTTATAGGAAAAAATAAACATGCAAAATTGTTACCAGTCACCCTTT